AAACTTCCTCACAAATATGAAGTAGAAGTTTTTACCGCAGGTACAGTAGGAACAAGTGTAGTGTCAAAGAAGGGGAGGGACAGCTCGCAGGCTTCATCTCTCTCTCCCTGCACCTTACCCTCCAAGATTTCCAAGTTGGAAACTGGGATACGTGTGGCCAAGCAACATCAGAACATAGCCAAGATGGTAGAAGTTATTAATGAAGAAGCTAGAAAAGAGTTAAACAGTAGACTTGTGCTTTCAGGGTAAGCTTTGCCCCATGTCGTGTCCCGGATTTTACTGCGGGCACCGATATGGGAGGGTTTTTTTTTTGGTTCAGAGCCCCAAAATTTGGATCATTATTGAGGAGGACTTCATAGAATCATAGAATCATAGAATCAAAGCGTTGGAAGAGACCTCATGGGCCATCCAGTCCAACCCCCTGCCAAGAAGCAGGAATATTGCATTCAAATCACCCCTGACAGATGGCCATCCAGCCTCTGCTTAAAAGCTTCCAAAGAAGGAGCCTCCACCACACTCCGGGGCAGAGAGTTCCACTGCTGAACGGCTCTCACAGTCAGGAAGTTCTTCCTAATGTTCAAATGGAATCTCCTCTCTTGTAGTTTGAAGCCATTGTTCCGCGTCCTAGTCTCCAAGGAAGCAGAAAACAAGCTTGCTCCCTCCTCCCTGTGGCTTCCTCTCACATATTTATACATGGCTATCATATCTCCTCTCAGCCTTCTCTTCTTCAGGCTAACATGCCCAGCTCCTTAAGCCGCTCCTCATAGGGCTTGTTCTCCAGACCCTTGATCATTTTAGTCGCCCTCCTCTGGACACATTCCAGCTTGTCAATCTCTCTCTTGAATTGTGGTGCCCAGAATTGGACACAATATTCCAGGTGTGGTCTAACCAAAGCAGAATAGAGGGGTAGCATTACTTCCCTAGATCTAGACACTATGCTCCTATTGATGCAGGCCAAAATCCCATTGGCTTTTTTTGCCGCCACATCACATTGTTGGCTCATGTTTAACTTGTTGTCCACGAGGACTCCAAGATCTTTTTCACACGTACTGCTCTCGAGCCAGGCAATCCCCCATTCTGTATCTTTGCATTTAATTTTTTCTGCCAAAGTGGAGTATCTTGCATTTGTCACTGTTGAACTTCATTTTGTTAGTTTTGGCCCATCTCTCTAATCTGTCAAGATCGTTTTGAATTCTGCTCCTGTCCTCTGGACTATTGGCTATCCCTCCCAATTTGGTGTTGTCTGCAAACTTGATGATCCATTTCCCAGCATTCTTCTTACCTGGCACCTGTTGTTTCTGCTCTAGAGTAAGATGCACTCAACTGTGCAAACATGCTCTGGACCTGCCTGCATGCCGCACCAGCTGTCACACATGCCCCACCATACTCTCTGAAAGTGCGTAGGCAAGCCCAGAGTGTGCCTGCAGCTGAGCTCCGGGCCTGCTTGTACACCCCACCACACACACCCCACCACACATGCCCCACCATATTCTCCAAGAGTTTGTGTGTGGCAGGCAGGGGCGGCTCATCCATTACGCGAAGTAAGCAGTCGCAGAACACTTTTTTTTTTGCCAGGGGCGCAGAGGCGCCTCTGTAAATGCCCCTCGACCGCCACTTGAGGAGCGCCCCCTCAGCTCACAACAGCCCTAGCAGTCCGGGGGGAGCCTCGGCTTTCTTGCCTCACTGCCGGGCGATCCTCTTCCCAAAGGGGCGAGGCTCAAGCCCCTCTCGTTCCTGCTCCACCCGGCCACCAGGTGCGCGAGCAGAGCCGGCGCTCAATCGTTCTCCATGTTCGATCCCTTCCCCATGACCGGCTCCCTTTCCTGATCCCCGGCGCTCCACCCGCCTCCTCTCCTCTCCCCAATCGCGGGTGGGCCAAGGGGCGGAGCCGCTGCGCCTGGCCCGCTTCGGGTTGGAGGTGTGTCTGAAGACCCCAGCGTGCGCACCAAAAGTCACCTCTCCTCCTGACTTTCTCTTCACCATTGGGACCAAGAGAGAGAGAGAGAAGAGAGAGAGAGAGAGAGGAGAGAGAGAGAGAGCCCCTCCGCTGGAGGTATCTCCCACCTCCGCTCCCTCCTTTGTTTTTGCGCCTACCTTCAGGAAAGGTGGGCATCTCCACCTCTCTCTCTCTCTCTCTCTCTCTTGGTCCCAATGGCTGAGGAGAAAGTCAGGAGAAGAGGTGACTTTTGGTGCACACGCCGGGGTCTTCAGGCATGCCTCCGGACCCAAAGCGGGCCAGGCAAGGGAGCAAGTGCGGCAAGTGTAGTTACTGGGATGTATAGTTCACCTACAATCAAAGAGCATTCTGAACTCCACCAATGATGGAATTGAACCAAATATGGCACACAGAACTCCCACGACAAACAGAAAATATATATCAATTATGTTTTGTTGTTGTTCATTTGTTCAGTCGTCTCCGACTCTTCGTGACCTCATGGACCAGCCCATGCCAGAGCTCCCTGTCAGCCGTCACCACCCCCAGCTCCTTCAAGGTCAATCCAGTCACTTCAAGGATGCCATCCATCCATCTTGCCCTTGGTGGGCCCCTCTTCCTTTTTCCTTCCATTTTCCCCAGCATCATTGTCATAATTGTCATGATTGGGGGGGGGGGGGGCAAAATACTGTTTGCTTACAGTTGAAAATTGCCTAGGGCCGCCTCTGGTGGCAGGGCATGTAGGCAGGCCCAGAGTGCACCTGCAGTTAAGCACCGGGCCTGCCTACATACCCTGCCAGCCACCACATACATCCTGCCATGCACTCTCTGAGAGTATGACAGGGCCTACAGGCAGGCCTGGAGCGCACCTGCAGCTGAGCTATGGGCCTGCCTACATGCAGACAAGGAGGCAATTTCAGGTTGACATGAAAGCAGGCTTTTGTGTTGAGCAGATTTCCATGTTGGGAGGGGGATTCCCATTTCACACTTCTGAAGAAACAGAAGACACAAAAGAAGCGATAGAAACAGTAAGAGCAAATTTCACGCACATGTCTATTAAGAAGTTTGTTGTTGCCTGAGAATACTGGGAAAGGCAAAATTCCTCCTGTTTTCCATCCCTGATGAGTTCATTCAAAACATCTATTTTGCATTAACTTAACTCAGTTTGCACCAAATGAAGTAAAGTCAAAAGGAGAACACTGAAGGAAGGGAATGAAACCAGGATATTTTCAAAGTAGCAGAAAAAATGGGATGACAGAAAATTGGTTGGAACTAATCATGTATGAATTTTTCACCAAATAAGTCCTCAACTTGGAGTAGAGTTTGAAAATGGGATAGTGGCATCCCCCGATGTGAGAAAATGCTAATGAACTACAGTTGTTAAAAAAAATTAATTTCACTGGTGTAACTCCCACTGAAAATTCTGGTCCATAGAAGTATTTTTTTTAAAGATCTGGGGGTCTTTTCAATGCCTCATTTACACCATATGGAGCCACGTCTAAGAGTTGAGCTGTCCAGGCGTTTCTTTCAGCTACAGTCCAAAATAGGTAACTTTTCCAACTTCTGGGGAATCCTAATATTTACCATTGCTGGTAAGATATAACAGTGGAGTTCCCATTCATATAACCTCCCAACATTGAAGGCCAGAAGCATGTAAAAAACAATTTGCTAGATATCAAGGGCTTTGGGAAGGGGAGAGGGTTCGAGGATGAGAATAGGCATCCCAGAAGGGATTGTCTGTGGTCGAATGTAAGCTTGTGAAACAGACGTTTCTTTTTGTGTGTGTGTGTGACACCTATCGTGGATTTAACATTTATATTTTATTGTTAGTGTGAGGTTAATGGGGAATTTTCCACCTCATCAGCTCCCAAAATGACTTGGCACACCATGTTTAATATCTGTCTTACACCAAGTAACAAAATTGTAGTGTGTCCACTACAGAAGCTTCAAAACCTGAACTTTGAAAAAGGATCTAGTTTTTTATGCACTGTTAGCATTAAACTAACATGAAATCAGTCAAAACTTATGGCTTGGTTGTAGATCCAGGGGTACCCCCCATTTTTATTTTTGGAGAGAGACAAATCCAAAAAGCAGAAAAATCTGCTACTTAAGAAAACACCATACAGCTGTATTTGTCTCCAAGCGGTTTTTCTTATAGAGTGCACACAGTTTAATTATCTACTCAGAAGTTTGTGCTGTGTGGTGGTAAACAGATGTGAAGGCCTGGAATAAAATTATTTTGACAATGGGAACGCCTAGTAGCAATTTACAAGCGGTTCTTCTGTGATTGAAAGAAGAGGAAAAGAACAGCACATGCCCATCCCTGTATGGAATTAGGGTCCTTAGAGAAGAAAGAAGGGGGACAGAAATGAAGCAAAGTGGGGCTTGCAACAAAATGTTGCATCATGGCATTCTTAGGGCTGCAAAAACACATTTGATCCACTTCATGTGGTGGTAAGTGGGAAATGTTTGCAAAAGTTCTCTTTCAGGTCTCAGAGACAGTGTTTGCATTTTTGTGAGTGATTGATGTGATTTTTTTGGTAGTACTGGAATCAGCAACAACAGTGGTCTTCTTGTATCAATTAGTCTAAGGAATAGCACTGGATGAGTTGTTTGTTGCCTTATGCCACTTTATACCCCTGGAACAAAGGTCTAATATCTCCCCTGTGTTGCCCTCACTCTGTTTGCTGTATTTTGGCTATAAGATAAAAGAGACTTTTGGGTGAATCTACACTTTAAAAATAGTGCAGTTAGACATCCCTTTAAATGCCATGACACAATGTGTGGAATCCTGGAAGTTGTCGTTTTATGAGATACCAGCACTCTTTGCCAGAGAAGGCTAAATACTACAACTCCTAGAGTGCATATGTTGTGTATTGCATATCACATGCATATTTTGTTGAGTAGGTTTGCAAGTTTTGTGTCTTGGTTAGCTGCACAGCATTGCCATCCATCATTGCATAGCACAATGTATAAATCCATAGGCAGATATTGACAGTACACAATCCCATTGTAGGATCTTGGCCAAGCTATGCTCTACTAACTCTTGGTGTCATTTTCTTTACAGAATGAAGTGGCTCAGGGTCTCATCTTTGCCCACCTACTTAACTATGCATTTACAACAAATTCTTTCTTCTTGAAGATCAAGTCACTCCACAATTGCAAGAATCCAAAACCAGCCTTTGTGTGGAGGAGGAGAGAGGAAGCATAACACACTAGTTGGAGCCTCTTTGGTGGAAATGCCTCACAAGTTGGTGGGAGAAAATGGCTTCAACTGTACCCAGAAGCTTATTTTTTCTAACACTTCCAACCCAATGGAGAACAACCTTTCTTTTGATACCACCAGCCCCAAGGACTCTTGTAATACCCCTCTGAGCAATGGCACTTTCTACTCCAATGCAAACAGCCCTTCGGACTCTTGCGTTAAACCCCTCTGTGATGTGACATCAGAAAATGACAACCACTTCAATGCAGGCATTAAATATGTCTCCTCAGAAGGAGAGGCTCTCGTGTGTGGGTGGGGTGGCTTCACTCCAAATTGTTTACAGTTCTTCAATAAACCCAAAGGAGTTTTGTTCTTCCTTTGTGTAGCTTCGTTCCTCCAAGGAATGACAGTGAACGGATTCATCAATACTGTCATCACCTCAATAGAGAGGCGATTTGACCTGCAGAGCTATGAAAGTGGGCTGATCGCCAGCTCCTATGACATTGCTGCCTGTGTGTGCTTGACGTTTGTCAGTTACTTTGGAGGCAATGGGCATAAACCGCGGTGGCTTGGGTGGGGAGTCTTGATCATGGGGATTGGGTCCATTGTCTTTGCACTGCCCCAGTTCACCACCAGCCAATATGAAGTACACTTTTCAGAGGACCTGGGCATGTGCTCCTCCAATCAGAGTGTGGGGTGCTCAGAGAGCGTCTCCAGCCTCTCAAATTACCGCTTTGTCTTTATGCTTGGACAGTTCCTTCATGGAATCGGAGCAACACCACTTTATACCCTGGGAGTGACTTATTTGGATGAAAATGTCAAGTCCAACTATTCCCCTGTATATATTGGTAAGTTATCCAAACTGAACAAATCTTTCCATTATTGTGTGTGTGTGTGTGTGTGTGTGTGTGTGTGTGTCAGAAGCAACTTGAGAAACTGCAGGTCACTTCTGGTGTGAGAGAATTGGCTATCTGCAAGGATGTTGTCCAGGGGGCACCCAGATGTTTTGATGTTTTACCATCCTTGTGGGAGGCTTCTCTCATGTCCCCACATGGGGAGCTGGAGCTGAAAGAGGAAGCTTATCCATGCTCTCCCTGGATTTGAACCTACGACGTGTCGGTCTTCAGTCCTGCCGGTACAAAGGTTTAACCCATTGTGCCACTGGGGCTCCTGATCTTTCCAATGAAACCCTATAGTAATTTTGCTTATGGTCACTATAAGTCAAAAATGACTTGAAGATTAAAACCCAATGATTCAATGTGTTAGCATCAACAGTACTATCCAACTGTGTTTTGGATTACAGCTTAAAGAACACCCTGGGCGTTATGGCCAATGATCATGTTGTCTAGTGGGTTGTGGTATAAAAAAACAATACCTTTTGACTGCCCTCATTTGCAAGGTCTGCTGATTTAAAAGCAACCTGAAATCCATTAGTGTGATCACAGTGCTTGCAATTGCCTTTCAGTTAGGATTTGAAACAGTGGGAAGTCTAAAAGTACCTACCAGCAAGATTTACCTGCAGGAAGCGATCCCACGCAGACTGTATGGAGCTCTCACAGTGCTCTAAACTGGCTGTGACATTCTTGCAGAGATTTAAATCACCATGGAAGAGGAGGAGATTTACTGAAGGGGAGTTTTCTATGCCAGACAAATCCTACTCTGCCTGCCGATGAGAGATGTAAAACAATTGTGCTCCCTTCCTCTACAGGGAAATGCGCACCTGAATTTTTCAGTCTTGCCACACACCGCTCTTATTTGTTCTATTAATTATATTTCACACAAAAGGGAACATTAGCCACAGATGTAGCTATCAGGTACATCACACAAGGTTGTTAATGATTTCCCTCTCTAATGCTAACATCTGTCTCCACTTCTTTGTGCCAACACAAAAGAGTTCTCCTCCATTCTCTTTGTATAGAAGAAAAGCTGTGTTGTGTTTGGGCACACTGTACCACGTCTGTTTAGGAACAACCTAGCCTTTACCTCTACCCACTTCCTTGGATCAGATCAGTGTTTCTCAAACTTTGCTCCTCCAGATGTTTTGGATTTCAGCTCCCAGAAATCCCAGTTGGCTTACCAGCTGTTAGGAATTGTGGGAACCAAAGTCCAAAACACCTGGAAAAGCAGAGTTTGGGAAACACTGGATTAGATGAAGCCCCTCTACAAGCCTTTTTGGTAAATCCTGAAAAGTTCTGTCCGTAAACTTGTAAAGCAAACAATGTCACAACAAACATTTCTGGGGGTGGCTTTGTGTCCTACTTTGCAGTGGAGAGGCCTCTCTTTGAAGATGCCCTTTCTTTGAAAGGGCTCCAGTTTGGGGAACTCAAAGAAACCATTGTGGCTGTCCATCAAAAATCTACACTCCTTAAAGTGAGGTGTGCTGTTTTTTGTGTTTAAATTCTAGCAACTGTTTTAACATTTTACATCTATCCACTTATATTGGCATGTAATCTCACACAAATCAGTGGCCTTTTCCATCCATTTGTTTGTCGAAATGTGAAAGATCATGTTAATAGCTGTGTGCGATCTGAATTAAACAGCCAAGATGAAAAATAGGAGAGACATTCTAAGAAATAAAACAAAATCTCTGATCCACAGATACTAAATCATTTTGCTATAGGGGAATTATGTGGTCCTTCAAGATGCTGTTGGACTGGAACTCCAAGCATTCCTTACAATGGTGGCTAGGATTTGTTGTCTACCATTTGGAGAGCAGTAATTCCCCCATGCCTGCTTTGTTAGGACCAACTGGAATATGAAAGTACACAACCTACTTTAGATGTTTAAACCATGAAATGCACAACTTGAAATTCAATGCTGAAATTTTTTATACTTCCTGTCATTTTTGGCACTTGAAATGAAACAGAGAGGCAGCAGACATTTTTAATAGGAGCTTACTGTATAAGCCTTGTGAGGCTTAACAGCCTCTCACAAGCCTTGTGAGGCTGGACTGGAGACTACAGTAAGCCCACTGATGCAAACGGAACCAGCAAAACAACCTCTGAGAACTCTAAGAAACCTTTAAGAAACCTTTATGGCAACACCTATGAAATTCATGGGGTTGCCATCAGCCGGAAGCCAACAGACCACATGAAAAACATACACACATCTATGTTTTTTTTGTTGATATGTTTTTTTTAATTTTCAATTTACATCTTCCTTTTTTTAAAGGAAAGGAAAAGGTCTGTTTTTTCATACCCCTACATTTTACCCTTGATTTATCCATGGGTTAAAGTAAAATCTATAATATTAGCCCCAAAACTTGCCCTATGCTTATGAATGAGGTTGATTTATAAACAATAACATATAGTAACTAACTGCCAGAATGGATAACGCAAGCTCGATGACTGTCTGGTAAATTTGCAAGTATTGCATTGTATAGCAATGCTTAAGTTATATCATTGCTTAACCCTTACAAAATGTGTGGGAAAATCCAGACAAAGGTTACTTTGATACAACACAAACCAAAACAGCTTATCTTGGCTTAAACCTATTTCACATCTTCAGTTCTTGACATAATAATGGTGTAGTGAATACTGCCACCAAATCTTGTTTGAAGATTGAGCTGACTCCCAACTAGATTAGAAAATGAATCAGTTCAGTTTATCTATGTGTTGACTCACCACTCAACAATTGATTCAATGTCTCTAATCTACTTGGAACTAATTAACAGGAGTCCAGCCATTGTAGGTTAACTTAAAGTGTTGAAAAACAATTAAGAAATATATTTTTCAATAAATAATTACTCCTGAAAATATTAGAAACAATAGAAAATATCACTAATTTTGCCGTGGAAATTCCCATAGGCACAACTGTTTTTTCTGCTATAGAACAAGCAACAGTAAACAAGAGAACAATAATAATGGAAATGTAATCACATTAGAGAATGTTACCCTTGTTTCCAGAATCTTCCTTCTTTGATTTCAGCTTAGCTATAATAAGGTATCCAAGTGTGGAATACATTACAAAGTTTATCACAAGAACTCACACTTATTTGCCTTCCATTCTTTAAATAAGGAAGATGCTCAATAGGACTCTATAGTCTATGCCAGTTTTTATAGTCTTTGCTCTAACAGAGGCTTTGGACTTCAGCTTCCAAGAATCTCAGCAAGCACAGTGAATGGATATAAATTCTCCAAATATGTAGAGAACCAAATCTTGAGACCCAAATCATCAATCAGGGACTGATACAGGACCATTGCAGACTAAAACCTTTTGAACTCCAAGGTTTGGAAAACCTTCTCTGACCACAAATGAGAGCCTTGTAGGCTCAAAATGGTCAATTGGATATCAACAGCTGAAATGAAGACTTTCCTTCCCAACTGCATCCCTTCTCTCCTTTCCAACCTAATGTTCCACTAGATAACTAAGTTGTTGTATGCCTTCAATTCATTTCCAGCTTGTGGTGACCCTAAGGCTAATGTATTGCAGCCCTTCTTTTGCCAGGATTTGTTCAGAGGGGGTTTGAATTTTTTGTGCTCTGAAAGAATGTGGGTTACTCCAAGTCACTCAGTGGGTTTCATGGCCAAACAGGGATTGGAACCCTAGTTTCAAGAATCATAGCCCAACATTCAAACCAGTACACCATGCTGGTATGGATGCCCAGTACTGTGTTCTTATATCAGACTATGAGGGGTACTGACTAAACTGGATGCAGATGTTCACTGTCTTTCTCTTGGCTTGCTCTGAGTCAAGCTGGGACTTACTACTACTTTAGCTATCACAAAATGATGGAGATGGTGGTAGTGGTGGTCAGGCCCGTAGCCAGGATTTTGTTTCGGGGGGGGGGGCTGAGTTTGGTTCGGGGGGGGGGGGGGGGGGCTGAGTCCGAGTGAAAGAGGGTCTACCCTAGCAAACCTTTTGTATCGTTACCCCAATACCCCCATGCATATGGGATATATTGAGCATGGTGATCAGATCATGATATGAATAAAAATAACAGTTTAAATAATGTACCAGTAAGGCCTTCTCGCAGACCACCATGAGAATTTCGGGGGGGGTGTGAAGCCCCCAAATGCCCCCCCCCCCCCGGCTACATGCCTAGTGGTGGTGGAATGCTGTTGCTTTCCTCATAGTTAAGCACCATTGACTGTTTTAGCCTAGCTATGATGCATGGCGACATAATATAATTGGTAGGTTGCTCAGAGACAATGTAGGTCATCAGGTTGAAGAAATTGTCTCTGTTACAAAGCCACCAAGGACTAAAATCCACATTCTGCCCTGCAGAATCAAATAAAAATAGCATTGCTTTAGTGTTCCAAATGCAGGTGTATAAAGATCTGTTGCTGAAGGAGTGCAAAAGATTAATGAAACCATGGAAGAACTGAGAGCATAACAGCAATTATTTATTTATTCTGCACATTTCTCAAATTCAGCAAAACTTTAGAATACAAACTTTGCATTTTTGCACTTTGCCACTTATCAAATATCCATCTCAATGTTTTTAATTTTCAGCCATTTTCTACACTGCTGCCATATTGGGTCCTGCAGCTGGTTATCTGGTTGGAGGAGTCTTTCTAAATATTTACACTGAAATTGGAAGACAGTAAGTGAACCACCTATTTCTTTGTTTGTTTTAATCATTCTTTCTTTCTCTTTAACAACCATGTGATTTATACATATATAAACTTTATTGTGGTACTTTGTCAAATTCAGCCATGCCTACTTTACATTTTGCTCACATCTGGAATCCAACCTCTAAGATAGTTCCCAATTGTCACCCACCCCCACCCACAAATAAAAAACAGTTCAAGACCTTTGTCAAGACCTTTTGGTGGTGAAGTCTGTGATCAGAGGCTCCTTGTACTTGCTAGAGATGGCCAGTCATTTCCATGTTAGTGGGACAATGCATCTGCTCTCTGTTTTAGTCCAAACCTTAAAAAGAGCTGCCCATTGTCCTTTTTTTGTGTGTGTCAGGAGCGACCTGAGAAACTACAAGTCGCTTCTGGTGAGAGAGAATTGGCCATCTGCAAGGACGTTGCCCAGGGGATGCCCAGATGATTTGATGTTTTATCATCCTTGTGGGAGGCTACTCTCATGTCCCCGCATGAGGAGCTGGAGCTGATAGAGGGAGCTCATCCACCTCTCCCCAGATTCGAACCTGTGACCTGTTGGTCTTCAGTCCTGCCAGCCCATTGTACTGAACCTACTGAACACAGGATTCTGGATCTGGGATGTTTTTTGGAATCTGGATTAAAACCCCAATAGGATTTTCTGCCTTCTGATATGGACATCACCAACCATAATTAGTGCCTTCAGCTCTATCACATATCTCTATGATAACTAGAAATGGGCAAACTCAAGGCCACTGCTCATCCTTTGTTAAAGCTTTAAACTGGAGTTGATGAGACAAGCACTCAGTGATAAGACACTTGTAAGTAGATCTCTGAAAGCTCTTCCAACAGAGAAGTGCCTTCTGTAAAGTGTACAGAGCCAACTGCTATAAAACCTGTATTTGTGGATTCACAAATACAGTAGAGTCTCACTTATCCAACATAAAAGGGTTGGCACAACATTGGATAAGTGAAAATGTTGGATAATAAGGAGGGATTAAGGAAAAGTCTATTAAACGCCAAATTACGTTATGATTTTACAAATTAAGCACCAAAACATCATGTTTTACAACAAATTGACAGAAAAAGCAGCTCAGTAGACGGTAACGTTATGTAGTAATTACTGCATTTACGAATTTAGCACCAACATATCGCAATGTATTGAAACAGCTGTTGATCTGGGTGGGAGCCAGATTGCGTTGGACAATACAGAATGTCGGATGAGTGAATGCTGGATAAGCAAGACTCTAAGCAACTTTTAATGTGAATATAAGTGATTTTAATGTTTGTATATATTTATGGTTTTATGTCTCGACATTGAATGTTTGCTGTATATATATTGTGCTCCGCCCTGAGTCTCCTGCAGGGTGAGAAGGGCAGAATATAAATGTTTTAAATAAATAAATAAATAAATAAATAAATAAATAAATAAATAAATCACAGCATTCTGGATACCAAATAATGATTATTACATTGATCCCAGCCAGTACAAACAATTGCAAGTGATCATTGGAGTTATTTTTAGGCAACCACAAGCTGCCAATCATTTATTTAGTGCATTCATAAGGCAAGTTCACTTTCTGTATAGAACTTTAATCACAAATAAGGCTGATCCCAGTTAAGCACAGTCATCCGTGGTTATTGGATGAAAAGCTGCCAACAAATACCAGGTGCTGTAGGTATATTCCAGGGGAAGGAACTGGCAAAACCACTTATGAGGATGCCTTTCTTAAGAAAACCCTGTGAAATTCATGGGGTCACTATATGTCACCAGGCAAAATGAAAGCATATAGACAGAGACAAAGGTTCGATCAGTGTTCATACCTTTGCACATGTTTTCAGTGGGCATTCTTTCTTACAATAAATTTGTTCAAATATTTTGGTGCTTTCAACTTGAACAAAAGTGTTAATCTTAAATTAATTTAAAGAACTAAGCTTGTGATTTAATTTTTAATCCCAGAATGGGTTTGTGAGCTTTGAAGTGAGCCGCTTCAGACTCTCCATAACCTTGCCCCCTCTCCATCTGAAATGTGAAATATTTACCCTACCATCAATTGCTGCACAATTCAAACAGAAATACTGTTCATGCCAATCTTTGTGTTTCTTTAAAGGTAAAATGGTATTTGAAGTTTATGGAAGATGTGCCAGAATCAAGGGTTACTCCATACCATTTTGTTCCCTTTGGGGTAACCAACAAATGATACCCTTCTTTGCACTCAAGTTAAAGGCTCCTTCTACACTGCTATATAAAATCCAGATTATCTGCTTTGAATGGGATTATATGGCAGTGTAGACTGATATAATCCCATTCAAAACAGATAATGTGGATTATCTGCTTTGATAATCTGAATTATATGGCAATATCAAAAGGGCTAAGATGACACTAACCAAAGTTATGGACTGGGGAATTCCTTACCACTGGAATGGTTAATCCGCTCTGGATTTTAGTCCAGAATAACAAGAAATCTGTGAATAAAACTTGCTAGGTTTTTGTCACCAAAGAGAACATTTGTCTAGCCTTCTATAGGTCATCCAAAGTGATTCTGTGTCTTTGATCTTCTCCCCATTTTCCAGCAACCTGGAAATGCCCATCATAGAATCATAGAATCATAGAATCAAAGAGTTGGAAGAGACCTCATGGGCCATCCAGTCCAACCCCCTGCCAAGAAGCAGGAATATTGCATTCAAATCACCCCTGACAGATGGCCATCCAGCCTCTGTTTAAAAGCTTCCAAAGAAGGAGCCTCCACCACACTCCGGGGCAGAGAGTTCCACTGCTGAATGGCTCTCACAGTCAGGAAGTTCTTCCTCATGTTCAGATGGAATCTCCTCTCTTGTAGTTTGAAGCCATTGTTCCGCGTCCATCCAGGGAAGGGAGGCTGCCACACTTCTCTGGATGGACAGGGTGGATTGGATGATTTTGATTGCTGCAAAACATCATCGTACTCACTACACCAATGTACTCACTATAGGATGCAAGTTGCATGTACCTTGCCTTGAGTAATACTAATGTGCAACAAGATCAGGAGAGAACCATTGTGAAGTGATTTTCACCCATGAGCATTGAGCAACTCTTCTCATGTCTTTTACCTGCAGAATTGATCTGACGCCAGACAATACCCTTTGGGTTGGAGCTTGGTGGATCGGATTCTTGGGTGCTGGGGCTGGTTCCCTTTTGATCGCAATCCCCATCTTGGGCTATCCGCATCGCTTGCCAGGTATGTTAAAAATGTTCCAACCAAACCAATTTACAAAGCAAGCCATGTGTTTCCTGAGAGATTTGAGAAAAGCCAAGAGCCAAGACTCTTCTTCACCACATCCTGGTTATGTGCAGAAAGATGGATTACTCAGTGGTAGAGCATATGCCTTGTATATTGAAAGTACCCCATTTAAATCTCTAGAATGCTTAATTTAGAAGATTTCGGGTAGTGATTAGGACATTGAAATAAATTTTCCATGCCATGACTCTGTCTATTTATTTATTTATTTATTTATTTATTTACTGTATTTGTTTACCACCTTTCTCAGCCCGTAGGTGACTCAAGGCAGTTAACAGGGCAAAATTCAATGCTTACAATGTCATAAATACATTTAAAAACATATCATATAATAAAAACTAAACAAATCAATAAAATATAAATTCACAGTGTCTTCTTGTTAAAAACATTGTCCGGACTCATTATCTCCTAGTTCCATTTTTCTATGTCAGTTATTCTGCATTTGCAAATGCTTGTTCAAAAAGCCACATCTTGACTTTCTTCCGGAACGATAAAAGGGTGGTGACTGATCTAATATCTTTAGGGAGGGCATTCCACAGCCAAGGGGCTACAACCGAGAATGCCCTGTTTCTTGTCTCCGCCAAATGTACATGTGACGAAGGTGGTAACGAGAGCAGGGCCTCCCCAGACAATCTTAAGGTCCTAGATGGTTCATAAGGGGAGATACGTTCAGACATGTAAGTTGGTCCATAACCGTTTAGGGCTTTATAGGCTAAAGCCAGCACTTTGAATAGTGCCTGGTAGCAAACTGGCAGCCAGTGGAGCTGGTGCAACAGAGGAGTTGTACGCTTCCTGAGCGCCGCTCCTGTTAGCAGTCTGGCTGCCATTTGTTGGACCATTTGAAGCTTCCGGACAGTCTTCAAAGGCAACCCCATGTAGAGTGTTTTGCAGTAGTCTATACGGGATGTAACCAGATGTAACCAATAATCATACTGGTGAATGCATTAAAGAAATCAGAAAAAAACCTAGCACTTGAAACAGAAGCTATGAAGGAATTTGACAAGATTCTGAAGTGTAAAGATATATAATTAGATAGGATTATATGTGCTAGCATATTTCCAATTTCTATGATAGTTCATAGAATCATAGAGTTGGAAGAGACCTCATGGGCCATCCAGTCCAACCCCCTGCCTAGAAGCAGAAAAATTACATCCAAAGCCCCCCTGACAGATGGCCATCCAGCCTCTGTTTAAAAGCCTCCGCCACACGCCAAGGCAGAGAGTTCCACTGCTGAACAGCTCTCACAGCTAGGAAGTTCTTACTTATGTTTAGGTGGAATCCACTTTCCTGTAGTTTGAAGCCATTGTTCCATGTCCTAATCTCCAGGGCAGCAGAAAACATGGACATTAAAGAAAGCTAGTAAGGTAATCATTTTAAATGTGGTGGTGGAGAATAGTTCTACGGTTGCCATGAATGGCTAAAAAGACAAATAAATGGGTTCTAGAACAAATCAAGCCTGAATTCTCCCTAGAAGTCAAGATTACTAAACTGAGATTGCCAGACTTTGGACAAATCATAAGAAGACATGACTCACTAGAAATGACAACAATGCTTGATAAGCAAGAAGTCAGTTGGAAAAGACCATGTTCCAAATGAAACATACTCCTGAAAAATGCCTATCCGATTATTTTAAAGACTCATAAGTATGAGAGTCAGTCACCCTCCAAGCCATTCCATCCCTCTCTCAATCAATTCTTACAATGAAGAAATTCTTCCTAATGGAAATTACAACAGTTCCCTTGCTTTTTTTGATCAGGCATTTCAAGGAGCCAAAAGTGGTGCTGTGGCCAATAGAGGTACCTCAGCGGCCTGCTTTAACTTGAGCAACAGGCATGTAGCCGGGGGGAGGGGGGGCTTGAGGGGCTTCAGCCCCCCCCCCCCAAATTCTCATGGTGATCCGCAGAAGGCCTTGTTGTTGTTGTTCATTCGTTCAGTCGTCTCCGACTCTTCGTGACCTCATGGACCAGCCCACGCTAGAGCTCCCTGTCGGCTGTCACCACCCCCAGCTCCTTCAAGGTCAGTCCAGTCACTTCAAGGATGCCATCCATCCATCTTGCCCTTGGTCGGCCCCTCTTCCTTTTGCCTTCCACTTTCCCCAGCATAAGGCCTTACTGGTGCATTATCTAAACATGTTTATTCATAGGGGCTGACCAAGGGCAAGATGGATGGATGGCATCCTTGAAGTGACTGGACTGACCTTGAAGGAGCTGGGGGTGGTGACGGCCGACAGGGAGCTCTGGCGTGGGCTGGTCCATGAGGTCACGAAGAGTCGGAGACGACTGAACAATGAACAACAACACTGCCAGCACAAGGGTTTAACCCATTGTACCACTAATGACCCTCTTTCACTCAGACTCAGACCCCCCCCCCCCAATCAAACTCAACCCCCTCCCCCCGAATCAAAATCCTGGCTAAAGGCCTGTTGAGCAAGTGATGCAGTACACACAGATGGTAAATGAGAAATGAGACCAGTTCAAAATAGTAATTGGTCCATTTGCAGAAATGTTGATCACCCAGAAATGGTGTCAACACAAAGATGATGCAATTACACCTAACTTTATGGATCAGTCTCATTTTAAAGGGCTTTAACTTGGGGTTGGCTTTTCCCCTTAGTTTACCTAAAGAAAATGACAAAGATAAAAGATAGTACATTAAAGAGAACTATCCTCTGCCTGAGGAGAGCTTAGTAATGGAGACTGAGTTTCACAGACAAATACAAGGATATGCCAAGCAATATCACTGGCAAATGTTATTAATAAGGAAGAATGTGCAAGCTAAGAAAAGGGTTGCAGCAATCTGCTTTTTCCTGAGTCTACTGCGAAGGGAGGCTTTCAATGTCTTTCCCTCCAACCCTTCCTCCTATTCATTGTGAGCAAACGACTTCTGTATTTTAAATTCAATTTGCAGGAACTGAAATAAGCTGAGGTCAAAGGGGCAAAGTGGGAGGAGGATAAAAAAAACTGGGATGTGGAATAATAGGGGATTGACTGGTCTGTGCTTTCCAAACTGAAATAGTTGGAGGATATGAAATCAGCCTTTCTGACAACCATTCTATTCCACTCTTTTGCATTTGCTCACTGGCATAATCATTACATTTGTGTGGCCATTAATCAATTTTCTTTTCATCCCATGATTTTGTAGAAATATTCATGGTAGTCTAATCCAACTGAATTTTCATGCTCTTTTAAGTCTCAGAAATGTTATTGAGCTGGCCAAGAGCCACAAAACAAGATCATCTTAGTGCTTAATAAAGAACTGGGATTAATATAAGAAGTGAAGGTGCCAACTCAGGCAAGCATGATGCCCTCCCCAGCTTTTCCGAAGGAGAAGGTGCTAACACAGAAATAAAGGGAGGTAGCCTCATAACACACACAAGAGGAAGACAGCACAAGATGAAGGAAATGCATTAGGAATCCAACATGGTATCTGAGTAGATTTTTTAAAAAGGAGGAAAATCATAAATAGCATGAGAATAATCACAAAGTTTTCCAGTCAAATGATAAGTCAGAGAAATGCTTATTCAATTCTTCCCTGCCTGGAAGTTGGACTTCCAAATTTTCTGCCACTGTTTGTAAACAGTCACTGACGTCTTAGCGAAGTGCTATCCTTCTGTTTGATTTTGTGGACTTCCATCAGACTTCTTCCATTTTTGCATTTGATTGCTTTATGACATTAAGATTTCTATTTGTGTATTGTTAACATGTGCGGATAAGTAGGTAAGAAAGGAGAGATGAAACTGAAAACTGCACATTAAACAAATTCATTTGATTTTATCTCTAAGTTAAAGAAAAAGGACAGAAGAATGGAAGTCAGGGCACAGGCTAATGTTGTTACACCAGAATTATCTGAAATCCTAAAATTTCTGGGTCCAAATATGAAATATAGGGAATGGCCCCTTGTGATGCCACATAGGGCAGGCTGAGTTGCTGCTACAAATATGGTACCATGGTGCAAAACTTAATAACTAGAGCATCAACCTCTGCTTTTAAAAAGGTAGAATATACATCCCGTATAGACTACTGAAATTCACTTTACGTGGGGTTGCCTTTGAAGACTGTTCAGAAGCTTCACATGGTCCAACAGGTGGCAGCCAGGTTATTAAAAGGAGCGGTGCTCAAAAAGCATACAACTCCTCTGCTAGCTGCCAGTCTGCTACCCGGCACAATTCAAAGTGCTGGCTTTAGCCTTTAAAGTCCTAAACAGTTCCAGCCCAGCTTACCTGTTCGAACGTATCTCTCCCTATGAACCATCTAAGCCTCTAAGATCGTCTGGGAGGCCCTGCTCTTGAACGAGAGACAGGGCCTTCTCAGCAGTGGCCCCTCAGCTATGGAATGCCTTTCCTAGGGATATTAGATCATCCCCCTCCCGCCTAACATTTTGAAAAAGAGTTAAAACCTGGCTATTTGAGCAAGCATTTGCAAATGCAGTGTAACGGGCTAATTTAGATCCACAGAACGACTGGACAGTGTGACAGGAAAATTATTTTAGAAATGAGATGATGAGGACTTGTGTTTTATTGTTCTTATTGTTTTTATATGAGTTATATTATTTGTTAATGTTTTTAATTATATTTTATGTTGTTGAGGGCATTGAATTATGCCGGTTGTAAACCACCTTGAGTTGCCTTCTAGCTAAGAAAGGCAGTATATATATACGGTAAATAAATAAATAAATATGCACACATAAATCAGTTTCAAAGCAATAATAATTCCTTGAGGCAATGCTCATGTCCCCTTGCCTGAGAAACTATGAGAGAGGAGAGAAGCCCTAATATTCAGGACCAAGACCTGAAATCTAGGAGTCCTAGCAGATCAACACACAGAACAGTGATGAAATGAAAAGGGACATCTGCTTATTCTAACCCAAGTAGACCAGGGGATAACTTGAATGTTCAGTTTCAGAACTTGAAAAGGCTGAAATGCCTTCCTAAAGTTTCTAATATCTTTTCTACATTACAGAATTATAGGCATTTAATATCATTTATTTGCTATGGCATCATCTTCTGGAATCTTATAGCTTGTTATTTACTGAGGCATTAGAGTACTCTGGCTAAGAAATCTCAATAACGTAAGGATGGAGTCATGACCATTAAAGTAGGACAGAACACAATGACTGGGCAGTGGAAGTGAAAACTAAGTTGCTAACGATAGGAGCATTAAGTTACAATATATTCCTGGTTTTCATCCTTCTCCTTCCCTCCTGCTAGAATACTTCCACTAGAAATGTAATGCATGGGTTGTGATTTGAGATGTGACTTTCGCCCTCTTTCCCCTTGACCTTTCCCCATCAAACAGGGAGCCATGTGGAAGTCCTTAGTTCTACAAGCTTCCCAAGCCCAAACACCACAGGTTGGAAGTGTCAGGAGCATGTATGTTTGGAGTGAATATATGGGTGTGACCCTACTACCTATGCCTTCCTCTTGCCACACATACACACAGTCTCAATTAATGAGTGAAGGATATTTCTGGTTGCCTTTTCACATGACCAGTCAAATCCTTTAGTTGCAAGGCATGGAATTCACTTTCATCTCAAACTATGTGATTTCAGGATCCCAACGCTACATTGTCATGAGAGTTTCAGAAGCCCATCAGCTGAAAGATGACAGTCAAAAAACAGCTTCAGATCCTGATTTTGGAAAGACGGTTAAAGACCTCCCGCGGTGAGAACCTCTTCTTCTCAACACAGAGAAATCTATTCTGTATCTCTCTCCCTGTCTTTCTCTTTGTGTATATGACCTGGAAAGACCTCATAGCTTTTTGCTATGTTCACCTCTAACTCAGAAACATCCTTGTTCCATCTATCAGAAATGGATTTTTTATTGACTCACCATATTGGGGTTGAGCTTAACTGGAGAGTTCATGGCCACCACATCTTCCCTGTTTGAAAGCATTGTCTTTTCCATAAAATATAATGACTAAGATCCCACATCAGGAGATGTAGCTATGGCGAAGTAGCTATGACTTCTCTCAACACTATCCTCCAAAATCCTATATTTGAATCCACATAGCTATCCCTCTCCTGCCCCAACACAGTCACTTCTGTTGCACCGAAAAGCAGGACAATTGGTAATAATGTACCAATTTCTGTCCTGGTTATGGAGCATGTTGAGAGGCAGCTGCAAGGCTCTGCCATGGCCCTGTTGCATTTGAATGTCTCAGCAATGACCATAACCAGGAGAGGGCTGTACATGTCATTACTCATTGCCCTGCCCTCCATCATATCACAAATATCTCTGTTGGAGGGAGTGAGATTTCGGAGCCATTTTTGGTGATTGTATTGTGCAACAGACATAAAATAAATTGAAATAATTACAGTAAGTCAGGGTTGCATCATGTAATTCCTGGACAGATGCCAGCCAAGTGGCCCAAAAGTTTTCTGCCACCACACACATAATTTAAGCACAGTCGTGGAAAAGGGTGCTGGTCTTTTCCACTCTCACTGAAGAATAGCATATCCCGTGGCGCTTGGCAAATTCTGATGGGGTGTTTCTGGGCATCAAGACAGTCATTCTTCTTAAGAACAAGACAATTGGGAATATTCTTTGCAACCTGAGTACATTGTGGAGAAAGAGTTATCCCTGCTGGGCAGCAACGCAATGAAGGTTTTCCAGGAATCCATTTCCTGTCCCCAGCCTTTGTGTGTTCTTTATTTTAAAGTGATTATCTCCAGTCTGGAGCAATAGGACATCACTTTGACTCTTGGCTTTTGGTGCCAAAAAGTCCAAGACTAGAACTGCAGGTTGCTTGAGGACAAAAGATTATATAAGAGATTTAGTGAATGGCCTCTTTATCAGAAGACCTTAGTGCTAGCAGGCAACCAGTTCAGTTTTGAGTCAGAATCAAGTAGGGACATTTGATTCCTGGGTTTATTTGGCTTGGTCACTTAGTTATGATATTCCAGATGTGTTTTAATAAACGTTCTATGAGTTTTTGATAGATAATGGAGAAAACTATATGCTGATGTAATATTTCTGAACCCTAGCTATAGTTATGAAACCTGGACAGTGAAAACATCCAATGGGAAATGAATCAACTTATTGAAATGTGGTGTTAGAGAAGAGTTGTATCAATACCATGGGATGCCAAACAAATTAATGGGCTCTACAGCAAATCAAGCCTGAAATCTCTTTAGAAGCCAAGATGACACAACTGAAGCTATTGTGCTTTGGAAATGAACTCATTGGAAACTCAGTTTGGCATTGAGAAAAGAGGAAGGTTCTATTGAAGGGGGAAAGACTCAGGCCCTTTCTACACTACCATATAAAATCCAGATTATCTGCTTTGAAATGGATGATATAGCAGTGTAGATTCATATAATCCAGTTCAAAGCAGATAATGTGGATTATCTGCTTTGATAATCGAGATTCTGTGGCAGTGTAGAAGGGGCCTCAGGTCCTATTTATGCTGCCTCATAATGTGTCTTGGAACTGAATGATATGGTCAGTGTAGACTGGTATAATGCAGGTTTAATGCAATTTAACTTCATTATATGAGTCTCACTGACTATATAAAGCAATTAAGGAAATCATAGCAATAAACCTATAGGACCTGAGCAAGGCAGGTGACCTCCATGGGACCTCCATGTTTTGGAGGTCCCTCATTCATAGGGTCACCTAATGACAATTAACAATAAAGAACAACAAAATAACTGTATGTTGTTTTCCCCCTTTTAAAAAAGGAGACAGTTGGGCTAAAAAGGAGAATACTTCATTTCAAACTTTTCAGGAGGAGAGTGACTTGAGATTCTGATAGCAATGTTTGTTTGTTTGTTTGTTTGTTTTAGCCGAAGGTTGTTTGAACAAAGATGAGGCAAGAATAATATCAAGGACCAGGTAGGGCCAGCTTAGGGACTGATTCAGAAATACACCTATCCACAGTGTTAGGGGAGTGATCTGTTATCAAATCACATAGGCAACTGGAAAACAGAAAGCCGGCTTTTTACCAGTTTAAACAAATTCATCCCAGTAGCATCTACTCTGGTTTTGGCATCATAGAGTTTCAGGCACAAAAAGAGTCTCACAAGAGAAAAGATTTGCTGAAGACTCCTAATTAGAAATGTCAGAAATTGAACCTGGGGCTTTCTGCTTGCAGAACATATGTTTTGTGACTGCTCAATTATGGTTTATTCCCAGCTGGTTCTGCTGTAAGCAAGAGAAAAAAGACAGGGGGCTTTCAAATAGATCCAATGGGATGCTGAGGTTTATGGTCTGTCAGAGCAGAGAGCGGGAGGAACATAAAATACTATATCTTTGTGTTTGGAACTCTACCTGAAGCTGTTTGCCAGAAGCATTTTCATTTCCTAATGGTTTCTGGGAAGGCGGAATTCAGGAACATCTAGTGCCTTGTCTTGGAGTACATCTACATTGTGGGATTAATGCAGTTTAACACCATAGTAACCAGGAGCCGCGGTGGTGCAATGGATTAAACTCTTGTGTTGGCTCAACTGCTGACCTGAAGGTTGGCAGTTCGAATCCATGCAATGGGGTGAGCTCCCATCTGTCAGCTCCAGCTTCCCGTGCGGGGACATGAGAGAAGCCCCCCACAGGATGGTAACACATCCAAGCATCCCCTGGGCAATGTCTCTGTAGACAGCCAATTTGCTCACACTACGAGCACCTTACAGTTTCTCAAGTCGTTTCTGATAAGATAAAAAAAAGCATAGTAACTGCCATGGCTCAATGCTTTGGATTCCAAAACCTTTTACCTTCTCTACCAAAGATTTCTGGTGCTTACCAAACTACAGATCTCACGTTTCCATAGCACTGAACCACAGCAAATAAAGTGGTGCCAAACTGTATCAATTCTACAGGGTGGATGCATCCTCATTATCCATTACCAATTATCACACTAGCTCACAACCTAGTAGGAGTTTTTGGGATCTCCAACCCTGGTAAGAGGTGATCCTGGGCCCATTTCAATTGCTGGCAACCAAGCAAATCTTGCCCAGTGCATTGTGATGTACAGATGGACTCACTGATGCAATAGGTCTTTCTCAGGAGTGATGTTGATTATTTCCTTGCAGAAGGAATGGAGGCAAAAAAATTTCAAAATCTGATTTCTTTGTGAGATTGAGTATGCATCCATGGAGAAATCCTCTTGGATCTTTATCAACTGAATGAGCCTTAATATCCGATAAAGGGACAGATAACTAGAACCATCTTGGCTCCTGAGGGGGCTTTTTTGTGCCCAGGAGAAAAGGTTACAGCTGGAACCATTTTCTAGATAGAAATATACAAACAATTGCCACATGTCAGAAATGCTGAAATATCTGTTGGCACCTATCCTGCTGAGGTCTTATTCATGCCTTATGTCGTCTGGATGCTGTTGTTTAATAACTTGTGCCAATATTTCCCTTGGTACTAATGGCAAGCCAACTGGTCTAACAGTCTGTGGTGCTGTCTTTAAAAACAGGAATTATATTCACTCTTCTCATGCAGCGCCAGTAAAAAGCAGGTGTATGACAGATATCCTGTGAAGACAGAAGAGGCATGGGGGCGAATCGTTGTTGACGGGGTACCATTTGGTGCAGAACTCTAGATGATGCACTCTGAGTTTTACACTGCAACTCTCATTGACCTCAGATGGGTTTACATTTGCAATAGGTCTTCCTCAGGAGCTGTGGCTTAAAAAAAATTAAATCAATTCATTTGAAATGTGGTCTTTCTGTGTTCCTACTGCCTTCTACTTTACCAAGCACTTTTTCCAGTGAGTCGTGTTGTCTCAGGAAGTGTCCAAATTATAATAACCTCTGTTCGGGATTGTTGTTGTTTATTCATTCAGTTGACTCTGACTCTTCATGTCCTCCTGGACCAGCCCACACCAGAGCTACCTGTCAGCTGTGGCCACCCCCAGTTCCTTCAAAGTCAAGCCAGTCACTTCAAAGATGCCATCCATCCATCTTGTCCTTGGTCGGCCCCTCTTCCTTTTTCCTTCCATTTTCCCAGCTTAATTGTCTTCTCCAATCTTTCCTGTCTTCTCATGATGTGGCCAAAGTACTTCATCTGTGCCTCTAATATCTTTCCCCCAATGAGCAGTCGAGCTTTATTTCCTGGAGTATGTACTGCTTTGATCTTCTTGCAGTCCAAGGCACTCTCAGAATTTTCCTCCAACACCACAGTTCAAAAGCATCAGCCTTCCCTATGGTCCAGCTCCCACATCCATAGGTTACTATGGGGAATACCATTGCTTTAACTATGCAGATCCTCATTGCCAGTGTGATGTCTCTACTCTTAACTATTTTATCGAGATTGGTCATTGCTGTCCTCTCAAGAAGTAAATGTCTTCTGATTTCTTGGCTGCAGTCTGTGTCTGAAATACAAAGTTTGTCACTGCCTCCACGTTTTCTCCCTCTATTTGGGATGCCCAAGTTCAAACCCTTGCTCATCCATAGGAACCTCATTTAATGATCTTGGATCAGTTTCACCCCAAATTTGCAAGACTGCTGTGAGGATTATGGGAAAGAGGTATGTGAACAATTCTAACCTCATGTTGTTGAAGGCTTACATGGATGGGATCACTTTAAAGATGCCAGCCACAAATGCAGGCAAAACATCAGGAGATAATGCTACTGGAACATGGTCATACAGCCCCAAAAAACTCACAGCAAGCCAATTCTAACCTCTTTAGAGTACAGCACTTTTTTGAAGAATGTAATAAACTTACAAAAAAAATAGGAGGAAAGCAGCAGGTTATAAAGGAGTAACAGTTAAATGAAATATCTGTTGGCACATATCCTACCGAGGTCTTATTAATGCTTTATGTCATCAGGATGCTGATATTTAATAACTTGTCACAATATTTCCCTTGGTACTAATGGCAAGCCAAATGGTCTAACAGTCTGTGGAGCAGGGGCTGCATTAGCGTATTGGGTTAAACCACTAACTGCAGGAAATCTGCTGATCAGAAGGTTGGCAGTTCGAAGCTGCAAGTCGAGATGAGCACCCGACTGTCAGCCCTAGCTTCTGCTTACCTAGCAGTTTGAAAGCATGCAATGCAAGTAGATCAATAGGTACCATCTTCCTTGGAGGGAAGGTCAAAGGGCGCCCATGCAGATGCAGACATGACGGCAACACAATCAGAGATATCCATGGACAACAGGCTCCCTGACATGGAAAAATGGAACAAGAGCACCTCCCCATGGCTGGAGTTGTGCATCACCTCAATACACCGGAGATGGAAAAAGGGGAAGGCCTTTACCTCTGTCTGTGTTGTATGTTGTTGTTCACTGTGTATAAAAGGCATTGAATGTTTGCCTCATATGTGTATTGTAATCTGCTCTGAGTCCCTCTGGGAGATAAAGCGGAATATAGATAAAGTGTATTATTATTATTATTATTAAATGGTTCTCAAAGCCATTATTGGATATTAGCATGTTTCAACTTGCTTCTTTCTTTTCCTTTCTCCTCTTACTTCACATCTTGCAGGTCAGTATTGCTGCTACTAAAGAATCCAACCTTCATCTTCCTTTGCTTAGCTGGAGCAACGGAGGCAACACTTATTGCTGGCATGTCAACCTTTGGCCCCAAATTTCTTGAATCCCAGTTTAGTTTAAGTGCCTCAGAAGCAGCAACCTTGTTTGGTAAGAAGTGATGCTTATGGTTCTTAATGTGTTAGATGTGATTATTACTGCAATTCTTTATCAGTATTTTTTCCACCTATGTGCTCCCAATGTTGCTTAAGTTACTCTTTTGGGTCAAGTATACCACCATTGAAAAAAGTTTTTTCTTATTATGTGACTTCAAGTAATTTCCTAGTCAAGACCACGCTATCACAATTAGCAAGATTTCTTCAGCCTGCTTCCAGTGAGGCTGAAAGAGTGTGACTTCCCCTCGGTCACCCAGGCAGTTTCCATGGCTGAGCAGGAATTCAAACCCTGGTCTACAAAGTTATAGTCCAATGCTCAGACCTCTACGCCAGTGTTTCTCAACCTTCCTAATGTCGCAACCCCTTAATACAGTTCCTCATGTTGTGGGGACCCCCAACCATAACATTATTTTTGTTGCTTCTTCATAACTGTAATTTTGCTACTGTTATGAATTGCAATGTAAATATTTGAGATGCAGGATGTATTTTCATTCTCTGGACCAAATTTGGCACAAATATCTGATATGTCAAAATTTGAATACTTGTGGGGTTGGGGAGGGGATTAATTTTGTCATTTGGGAGTTGTAGTTGCTGGGATTTATAGTTAACTTACAATCAAAGAGCATTCTGAATTTAACCAATGATGGAACTGAACCAAAATTGAGACACAGAACTCCCATGACCAACAGAAAATACTGGAAGAGTCTGGTGGCCATTGACCTTGAGTTTTGGAGTTGTAGTTAAAAGAAGCACCTTCATCCAGGGAGCACTGTGGACTCAAACAATGACGGATTTGGACCAAACTTGGCATGAATACTCAATATGCACAAATGTGAACACTGGTGGAGTTTGGGGAAAACAGAAGCTTGACATTTGGGACTTGTAGTTTCTGGGATTTATAGTTCACCTACAATCAGAGCATTCTGAATCCCACCAATTATAGAATTGGGCCAAACTTCCCACACAGAACTCCCCATGATCAACAGAAAATACTATGTTTTCTGATGGTCTTTGGTGACCCCTTTGACACCCCCTCACGACCCCCCCCCCAGGGGTCCGGATCTGCAGGTTGAGAAGCGCTGCTCTACACCATATTGGCTTTTCAAAGGAAGATACTGGAAAGTAATCTATCAATTCTTCCTTGTGATATTCATTCTCAGTGTTTTATAGTGAGACACTTAATGAAAAAGCCTGATCTATCAAATTTCCAAGTGAAAACATCCCATAGATGAAATCTTTGCAATATGGTGGGCTAAAGAGGCATAGGCCAACTAATATCCCAGATACACGACCAGTCAGTGGGACTTTAGGTCTTCAAAGTAGACTCCCAACTCAGGTCTTAAAACGATTGCTTCATTAGTCACATCCAGAATTCGGAAACATTACCTTTTGAGATGACAACTCCCCTCATCTATCCATAAGCATGGCTGAGGGGTTCTGGGGGTTGTAATGAAAAAGAAGACACATTTCCAGGCTTCCCAAGCAACAGCAGTTGATGCAGTCATCATCTCACTGAGTGCATCTGCACTGTAAAATTAATGCAGTTTGACATCACTTTAACTTCAGTGACTCAATGTTGTGAAATCCTGGGAGTTGTAGGTTTACAAGATCTTTAGCTATCTGTCACAAAGGAATGAATATCATGATTCCATAGCATTTAGACAAAACAGTTAAAAGTGATGTTAAACTGCATTAATTGTACAGGTAGATGCCCTCACTGATGGAAATCTGTACAGTCTGAATTCGAGCTGCTAGGAGATTAATCGTGCCTTACCATATCTACCTAGTAGGCCTGGGTAACAACGGAAAAATTTGTTTCTAAAATCGATTCGTTTTTTGGGGGTTTTTTGCGTTTCGTTATTTAAAATAATTACAAAATTTTCCTTTTAAAAAGTTCGATATTTACGAAATTTCGTAAATGTGAAAAAAAATTACAAAACATTAACGAATCGATTTCCGAAACAATAACGAATCGATTCGTTAATGGCGGACGCGACCGCGAAATACGCTAAAAAACCTCCAAAAACTTCTGAAGCTTCCCTCTCCCTCTGTTGTTGACTGTTGGTGTGATATTATAATTTTTTTTCACTAATTAAACAAAAAACAACCATAAAACTTGCCCCAGACATGCGGAAATAATAACGAAACGACCTCAAAACAATAACGAAACGAATACAATAACGAAATACGAAGCATTTACAAAACTATTTAAAAATTCGTTTTTTTAAAAAATTGCCCCAGAATGGTTCGTTATCGTTTTGTAATTGAAAAAATTAACGAATTATTAACGAATTACGAATTAACGAAACGAAACCGCCCAGCCCTACTACCTAGATCTATATTTTTGCTGAGAAACTGAAATCCACTAGATTAGTATGAAAGTATCATATGTACTAGGCTCTGAATGGGAAGTTGGTATATTTGTGAAATCTGGTGGGAGGGAATCATTGCAAAGGTGGATTAGATGTTTGTTTCACTTCATTTTTTTAAAGAAACATTTAAAATATTAATATGTACACATTCTCCATATATGGCATGAACAGAACTTGAAGTTTAAACAATTAAAATGTGGAAGAAAAACAATGCTTTGAGTCTGTTTAAATTACTTTGGTTGTTTTAAATATTTGAATTGTTTCGGTTATTGTTTTATTGTGCACAATACCTGGGATTGGGTGGTTCATAAATATTTTAATAAAGCAATCCATGCTCTGAAGTGAGCTTTCCTGTTTCTTCTTCTCCGGAAGGCTACCTTGTGGTTCCAGCAGGAGGAGGAGGCACCTTCCTTGGAGGCTTCATTGTGAACAAATTCAAGCTGCGTTGTTCAGGAATCATCAAGTTCTGTTTATTTTGCACCTTGTCAAGTCTGCTGGCAATTTTCATCTTTTTTATTGATTGTCCTAACATGCCCATGGCTGGAGTAACCCAAATGTATGATGGAAGGTAGGCATTACCTGTCTGTTTTGAACCTGCAGTAATGTGGAATTATGGGGAGGGGATACCTTTGCTGCATTCCAAACAATGTTTGTTTGCCATGTTTTATTCAGTGACTTACTACAGGGCCACCTCAACTTGTCTTCCCCTTGCAATGCGGAATGTGACTGCCTTCGAGAGATGTACAGTCCTGTGTGCGGTAATGATGACATCATGTACTACTCCCCTTGCCATGCTGGCTGCAAGCAAGTCTCAACAAATCAGGAGAATGGGAAAAAGGTGTGTTCTGAGGAGAGCTTCCATCTCCCCTGTTCTTCACACCCTCCAAAAATCATTTCTGCTCCCAAACATTTCTGCTCCCAAACATGTGTCAAAACGCATTGTTCGCCATGTCATTTTATGTGACCCTCCAGATGCTCAATTACAATTCCTGTATTCCTCAACATTAGACATCTTTATTTTCTGTGTCAGGGTGACTTGAGAAACTGCAAGTCACTTCTGGTGTGAGAGAATTGTCCATCTGCAAGGGTTGTTTGATGTTTTACCATCCTTTTGGGAGGCTTCTGTCATGTACACACATGGGGAGCTGGAGCTGACAGAGGGAGCTCCACCCAATCTCCCCGGATTCAAACTGCTGACCTATCAGTCAGCAGTCCTGCCAGCACAAGGATTTAACTTAATAACTGGGGGCTCCCATTAGACATCATGACTACAGCCAATGGGATTTGTGATACAGCAACATCTGGAAGCTGCAGTTTGTTCTGTTTAGGCAGAATAGTGGACTTTGAATTTAGATACAAGGCTTGTGAATATGATGTCTGATTTTAAAAGCTCTTTAAGCTTTCACCAACCTGTGAGCCACAAGTACTGTTGGATTGCAATTCCTATTATCCCCAGTCAACATGGTGGATAATCAAAAGTGATGGGAGTGTCATTCAGTAACATCTGGGGACCCAAAATGGGTAAAAGCTATAGAGCACTATGTTTAAAAAGTCTAGTTGACCTTCTGTATCCATGGATTCCTTGTCCATAGATTCAATGGCTCTTTGAAGGCAACCATAAGACTGATTTGGCCTTGATAAGCATGAATTTGGCACCCCTGCTCTTGGGGGAGTGGGGTCATTCCCATCAAATGGGACAGTAGTTATCAAAATCTCCAAACAAAGGAGACGCTTCAACCAAGGAGAAAAGAATGAGGAAATTGTTTCTCATGTGAATTCATGAGTTTTTCATCATATGTAAGAGTAAAACACTACTGAAATTTTCTGCTGATGGAGAAAAATCATGTTTTTGCTCAGCATTTTCTGCACATTGAAATGTTACAGAAGATTTTTCTGTGTTGCAAAACATGTGGATTTTCTTCACTAGGAGGTATCTGTTGCACGGAAATGCATGTTTTCTGTTCAGAAGAAAACTCAAACATGTTTCTGTGCACAATAAAAAATATGTTGTATACAGAAAATATGCAAACAAACAAACCCTCTGCAAAAATTTGATACCTTCAAATAGTCAGAGAAAACAGCACAAAAGTCTCATTGTTCTATTATAGATAGATAGGTAGGTAGATAGGGAACCGAATAATAAAAACTATTCTTTCCATCCCTAAACTTGTTATCTGAGCTTATCCAAACAATTGCCCATCAACAGTAGGAGCAATGGTGTGTCCTACTTACAGTCAGAAAAAAATACTATGCGAAAAGCTGATTTTTTTTATTATTATTATTTCCATTATTTCCACTCCGTCCTTCTCAACCCCCAAAAGGGGACACAGGATGGCTTACACTTGGCAACAATTTGATGCCACTACATATAACAATGCAATAATACAACAATTAAATACAATAAATAGAACATTAATTAAAAACAATAAAAACAACATAGTCAGCTGTATCGCCACTCCAGTCAGATTCCATATCTAAAGTGCTAATTATGCCTGCTGACCAAAAGCCTGGCCCCAGAACCAAGATTTCAGTTTCTTCCTAAACGACAGTAGGGAAGAAGCCAATCTTATCTTGTTGGGAAGCGTGTTTCACAGGTGGGGGAGCCGCAGCCGAGAAGGCCCTGTCTCTCATTCCCGCCAGTCTTTTGTTTCATTTTGCTCTACTGGAGTGGTTCTCATCCTGTGGGTTCCCAGGTGTTTTGTCCTACAACTCCCAGAAATCCCAGCCAGTTTACCAGCTGTTAGGATTTATGGAAGTTGAAGGCCAAAACATCTGGGAACCCACAGGTTGAGAACCACTGCTCGATGCATAAACCTAATTTTTGTGTTACTTGGGAACAGTGTTATGTATTATTTCCTTCCACAAGTGGAATCCTTTGCTAGACACCTTTTCTGGTGCACATTGTTATTTAGATTCTCGCTTGATCTACAGTGATCTGGAGTATATAACTTTGCAAAACTGGGGCGTCTTTCAAACTGATACTGTTGGCTTTATTCTTACCAAGGTTTACCATGAGTGTAGCTGTATTCCGAGTTCTGCTTCCTCTTCATCTGGCTTGGCTACAGCAGGGAAATGTTCATCTTCATGTGAAAAGAGGACAATTCTTCTTATTTTCATCTTTGTTGTCATTCTCTTCACATTCCTAAGCAGTATTCCTGCTCTTACAGCTACTCTAAGGTAAGCCAGAGGAATGAGACTCAGCTACTCACAACATGTCAGAGGCAGCCAATTGGCTTGTTCCCCAAATCACTATATAATTCCAGTGTTGCTTACAGCATATTACTCTGCACTTATACCATTTTACCTTTGGCTGCAAGTCTATATTACTGAATAACAAAGGCAAATTTATTACAATGTCTCATTTCTATGTATGATCATAAAAACTGAACAATGGGGAAATTTGACAAGAAAAGAATCAAATTATTTGAAATGTGGTGCCAGAGAAGAGTTCTGGAACCACAGACACTGCCAAAAAAGACAAATAAGTGGAGCCTTGAGCAAATCAAGGCTGAACTCTCTCTAGAAGGCACAATGACTAATCTGAGATCATCATAGTTTGGATATATCTTGAGAAGATATATACTTCACTGGGAAATAATGCTCAGTAAGATAGAAGGCGGTACAGAAAGAGGAAGACTGCATTACGAATAGATAAACTCAGTCAAGAAAGCCACAGACCTGAGTTTAATTTACACCTTAAAAGAGCAATACAAGGTGATGCATCCTTTTGTATAGCTCATTTAAAACCATGTAAAACAGCCTCAATGGCCTGGAAGCCACCAATTGGACACCTGCAGTTTAAGAATGGTCTCACACTGATGTGATGGTGATGGGGTGTGTGGAGGGATTAGTATGTTGTTTTGTGGTGTGTGTGGGAAAAGTGTGTAATTTCATTTTGCAATAGCACAATGACAAATAAAGCTACTCTATTCTATTCTAGCCATGGTTTCTAAATGTTTATTTTATATATCCTAGGTGTGTTCCTGACCGGCAGCGGTCCTTCGCCCTAGGAATCCAGTGGATTGTAGTAAGGACTCTAGGTACAGTACATAGTCAAATTGGGTCATCTACTGTTTAATCAAAAGAGTTTCTGTCACTGTTATTCCTCAGCATAAATGTGTGTAGTTGGTGGATATACACCAAGACCAGAGGTTCTTATGGCATTAGAGACTTACTGGTATAAAAGGCTTTAGCTTTCATATGGATCATCAGAGTTCATCAGATAGTTAGAGTGCATGTACACTTTGGAATTAATGCAGCATGACACTACTTGAACTGCCATGGCTTTGGTCAGATCTTACTTGAAGTATTGCATCCAACTCTGGGCACCACAAATTCAATAAAAATATTGAAAAGCTAAAATGTGTCCAGAAAAGGTGAACAAAATGATCAAAGGTATGAGAAATGGCTTAGGCAGTTGGGTATGTTTAGCCTGGAGAAAAGAAGGTTGAGAGAGGACATGGTAGCCATGTTCAAGTATTTGAAAGGATGTCATTTTGAGGAGGGAGGAAGCTTGTTTTCTGCTGCTCCAGAGACTAGGACATGGAGCAATGGATTCAAATTGAAGGAGGAAAATCCACCTAAATATTAGGAAGTACTTCCTGAGGATAAGAGGAATATGTTGCCTCAAAATGGGGTCCCCTTCTCTTGAGGTTTTTAAGCAGAGGTTGGAGTGGGTTGATTTTCAACACTGTGCACCTTCAGTCATTCAGAGAAGTTTGAATCTTAGAGATAACTGTAGATGGTTGAACTTTGGGATCAGGACAAAACATTAATTTTATTTTTTACTGAACATCTTTGCATTCTGAAGTGCTATCTGTCTGAAAATACTGTACAGAGTGTTGATGAACAGACTGGAGGCTTGCATTCACCCAAAGAATATAAATTATTCTGTTATTCAAGGGAGTTACGTGTTTGCATATAAAACATTGATACTGGAACTTGTGCTTTGAGAAATATCAAAAAATGATCCTAGCAAGTTTGCTCTGTCTAAGACTTCCTGAGTCATTATTTCCATTTAATCACTGAACTTTCTCTAACTGCCGGTGATGGAAACTTTTGGAACAAATCTAAGGCCAATGTCTACAGTCGGAAACATCTTACTGAGTTCTACAAAGAAGGAATTCGTCCAACTGTTGAACAAAATTTTGTAATTATATATTTGTCAGCAGATCTTTCTCATTACTGTCTCTGTCTAGGTGGCATTCCAGGACCAATTGCCTTTGGGTCAATGATTGACAAATCATGCCTCCTCTGGCAGAACCAATGCGGTGAACAAGGGTCTTGCTTTGTGTATCAGAATTTTGCCATGAGTCGATACACCCTGACTGCTGGCCTTATATACAAGGTAATCCAGAATTATCTTTCTGATAAATCTTAGCTAATTTAGCATAAGGGCTTTTCATGTTCTTTTTGTCCTGTTCCATAGAAGTAGAGGACACGAAGACTAGTCACTTGGAAAAACTTGATGCTGCTTAGACATCAAAACAAATCTTTTTCTCACTAAAGTGGTAAACCTGTGCATGAATGGTATTTATCAGAATGTATTTGGGACTTACATGGCTAAATACTCCTCCAGATTACATACAACAGTAATATCAGTATTTTTTTAAAAAAAAATGAATAAAGAAGAGGTTAAAGCTAACCAAGCAGCACACACAACACTTGATTTTTCCTTTGCCCAAAGGTACGATTCCCATCCGATCTTGAAAACTAAGCAGGGTCAAGGTTAGTACTTGGATAGGACTGTCAATGATGGCCAGGTATTGAAGGCTATATTTCAAAGAAAGGAACTGGTAAAACCACCTCTGAATATTCCTTATTTAAGAATACCTCTATTAAAGAATATCTCAAGAAACCACAGAACTTCACAGGGAACTTGAAGCCCCCCCCCCCCCACACACACACACAGAGAAAGCTTTGGACCCCAAGAGAAAACAGTGGTGGAGGGGATTGGGCCAATGTATTTTGTGGGGCAGGGAGTCCTGTGATTGTGTGTGCCTTCTCTGTTTTTTTTAATTGTAGTTTTTTTTTATTTACATACATTAACAACTTACTTCGACAAAACAGTGAATATGTATTGTCGAAGGCTTTCATGGCCGGAATCACTGGGTTGTTGTAGGTTTTTCCGAGCTATATGGCCATGTTCTAGAGGCATTTCTCCTGACGTTTTGCCTGCATCTATGGCAAGCATTCTCAGAGGTAGTGAGGTCTGTTGGAACTGAGAAGGTGGCAGGAGAAAATGCCGCTAGAACATGGCCATACAGCCTGGAAAAACCTACAACAACCCAAAACAGTGACTATTTTACAAACACATAGCCCCACCACCAAGGCCTGAACAAGTATCCTTTCCTTTGCCATATATTTATAAGTCAACCATTAATCAAATGTCATATCCAAAATTCCTGACCAACAAGGTTATATTGTTTTCCATTTTCACTCTCTAAAACATATTTAATAAATACCGACCAATATGCATCAAAACCTGATCTGTTAGTTTTCCCCCTGAATACCCTCATTTCCATTGATAGTTTATCATTTAAGGCTATGTTCCATGCCTCCCTATGCCATGCTTCCACTGTAAGATTAGTTACTATTTTCCAATTCCTTGCGATTGTGATTCTTGCCACTGTGAATAAAATAATCACAGATTCTTTCTTTTCCATTTCTAAATTCAACTTTGTGGCATTCATTAGTAATGCTAACCTAGCATCCGGAGTAATATTTATTGCTATACAGTCCAGCACACAGGGAAAATGGGATGGAGAGGGAGTTGGCAAAGTTCAGTCAGAAAGTGGTTGCTACAGTCACGTCTCCTATGATTACAGGTGATGGGATCATTGTTCTTTCTGCTCGCCTGCCTGCTCTACAAACCTCCTCCACCAGAATCCATTCCAGGCAGTTCCAACACATCTGAAAATGGCAACTGTGACCTCCAGAAGAACAAATGTCCTCATCAATCTCAAGACAATGTATAGCACTTTGGATGTGACAAGTGACTTTCAATCAAGATACTATGTCAAAAGAATATGTATTAGTCTTTTCCTGTAAAATGATTGATATTATTTTATTTTTGTTCATACACATAGACTTTTCAGGGTGAACAATTCAATGCAGTTATGGTATAATTTAGTATTTTTCTGTGGAGAAAAAGCACACCGCAAAACAAGTGCACTGGCCTTTCCACCTTGAAATGTAGATGTTGCCAAGAGCTTTGAGGCCTTTTCCCATGGAGAGACATGGGCTTGGGAAGATCTCAGAGAAAGACTTTTGCCACCATCTTGATGGCTTTTTAGAATGGACTGCCACCATCTTGCAATTTTCAGAGCAGTCAAAACAGTGGTGTCTATAGGGCAGGGGACTGTGTTTCTCTTGCTTGGCCCAATGAGGGATTTATTTTAGACACTGCGTTTTTGTGTGACCTCAGAATATCACAAAAGTTTGTAGCATCACAGTGTTAATTTATTTAAAGAAGGGCTAAACATAGCTTCAGACCATTCCTGTACAAAGCACTTAAGACAAAATACCACTTCTTGTGGGCCATGTATTCAAGTCAATGCCAACTTCTTATAATGTATGTGAGATTTGTCTGGCCCATTGCTGTTCCTAGCCAGAAATTTCCAAGGCCTTTCTTGGATCTTACTTCTTTCCCTTCCTGTTCATCTTTCATTGGCTGCAACGTTCTTGATGGACTCACATATGTGAACCAGTCATCACAGGTAAAGTACCACAAATCAGTTTTTTACAGCACCTCAAGCACCATAATTTCCAAAGGAAGCCATTCATAATTCAGCTCCAGGTCATTGAACTATAACTCAAGTGATGACCGTGCATGTGTGAATCAACACCTTTTGACCTGCAGCAGGCCTCTTACAGCACAATTCTTGTCTTTTCCTTCTTCCAGTATTTTGTCTCCTGTATTGAATTGTCTTCCCTTAGTGCTCATTCAGACAGCAGGTTCTCATGCACTATAACACTTACCTAGAAGAAAAGGAAACATTCCATGAAAGGCAAATTCTTCTGAACATCTCCTGGTCTTCTACTGGTTGCCCAAAACTAATAGGCTCAATGTATTGTCGAAGGCTTTCATGGCCGGAATCACTGGGTTGTTGTAGGTTTTTCAGGCTGTATGGCTATGTTCTAGAAGCATTCTCTCCTAATGTTTCACCTGAATCTGTGGCAGGCATCCTCAGAGGTTGTGAGGACCTCGCAACCTCTGAGGATGCTTGCCACAAATGTAGACAAAACATCAGGAGAGAATGCTTCCATAACATGGCCATACAGCCCGAAAAACCTACAACAGCCCACTGATAGGCTCTTTTGGTGACTGCTTGGGTAATTAGATATGGTATCTTGTTTCAATGGGAGTCATTTTACTGTGGTGTAGTATACCGTATATACCCATATATAAGCCAATGTATTTGTCAAGGGCAAGTTTAGGGCCAACATTATGGATTTTGATGTGACCTGTTGATAAACTGAGGGTCATTCCTCATAGAGGAAAAAGCACCAATGCTGTCTCAGGGGACCAGCTACCATTTTCACACCCATACATTGAAAAATGCCTTTTGGCACTCTACTCAGAGAAGGGTTTTTTATATACATATATTGGCCTGTGGATAGGTTGATCCATGTTTTTGAGGTCAAATTTTGATGAAAATGTTTAACATATACATGAGTTAGAATGGTACTTTTTGTTGTAAGTGATAAAAAGCTGGTGCCATAGTATGTGTGTAGTGGGCTTCAGAATCTGGACTTTTTCCAGGTTCCTGATTGTATGGCTGTTGTTGGGGCAAGGAGAAGACATTGTTTCCTGACAAATTTATTTGGCTGTATTGGAATATCTTTGTATACTTTTAGGACAGAGGCATTAACCCCCAAAGAGACCTTTGAGTGATTGCACCACTCAATAGACCTCAAAAATACCCCATTTTTTTCCTCCAAATCCTCCCGCTTCCAGACACTTAAGGTCAGTGGAGTCCAACCTTTGGTCCTCTGGGTGTTTTCTACTTCAGCTCCCAGAATTCCTGAGCATTGGACAAGCTGGCTAGGGTTTCTGGGAGTTGGTGTCCCAAACACCTGGAAGACCAAAGATTGGACACTACTGCTCTAGTGGCTTTAATGGGCATTTATGAAATGTTTTTAGGCTCAAGGTGGGCCTTGTTTTTAGAACAAGAAGTGCACAGTGTTCACTTCTGCTTTACTTATGGGTTTTTTACAAAAACAAATTAAGGCCCCAGGGTTAGCCAGCTAGCCTGGGAGCTGCCCTTTTGATTTTCTGAAAAAGCACTAAGCTAACATTGGTGAGAGGCACTGAAAAAAATTAAATGTCCATCTCTCAGACTCTAGTGCCCAGTGTTGATGGGAAAGAATTGCTGCTGTCATCATGTAATTCCAACAAGATTCCAATAGTTTGGGAAAAGGACAAGTCCTGGATTTAGCTATGTTTGCAACTCTGAGTTCTATAGAGTAACAGATATGGAATTTCATAGAGAACAGAAATGCAAGTATACTTGTGCAATAAGTTTCAAAGGAAGCCAGAGAAAAGACACAACCTCACAAATATGGCTTGCCCTATGTGGGAAAAGCTTTAAAGAGGAACGTGATGGGAACTGTTTATTACAAGACCACAACCACAATGACATTTTAAAAAAATAATACTATTGAAAATGGAATGAACCAGATTCAAGATATATTCAATAGCTAGAGAGGAATCAAGAGATTTCAACTTCATCCAACACCTGTACCACAAAATTGCCAAAAACTCTATGTGAATGCATGTGTGGGAAGGGTTGCTTCCTTATCCCCTCCCCCTTCCTCCTTATACTTTAATGGGATTGGTTGCTTGCTCTGATTAAATTGACCCAATCAGCAGAATCAGGCAGGAATTCTTTTATTAAATTCTATTTCTTTCAGTTATAGCTATAATTGTATATTCCTGCTTCTCATTGAAAACCCGGATGGCACTACAAAGGATAGGTCAGGCTGTTCCCTTAAAATGCTAATTGATGGGTTTTTGGAGAAGGTGCAAATAAGATTTTTGTTAGAATATGGGAAGAAATCTGTGGTAGAGGATGTGTTTCACATACAAAAGGTCACCAGTTAGAGAATCCAGATAGAAGGAGATGAGATAAACTTTGCCTGATCTCCTAAAAACCTACTGCAAAACAAAACAGACAGAAGAACTGCATCCCATGATTTTTGTGTCTGTGGGTTCACAAAAGAAAATCCCTGAGGTGTAGAAGTCCTGATGACCTATTAATCTTCTGTTCTTGAAATATAAAGAGTTTTGTCCCAACAATTTGAGGCATAATGAGCCTCCCCCAGCCAGGTTAACAATCTGAATCGCAAAACAGATACCTGGTATTTCCACTGTACAATATGCAAAGTGATACAGGAAAGCAAAGCACCTTCCAAGTTTTCTTTCCATGGTTAGAAAAATACAGCAGTCTTTGTCTTTCCTCCATTTGGGTAAAGTACTTTGTTTATGTGACACACAACTGGGATAGGTTCATATTACCATGAAGTGGAAGAAGTGTGAGAGAAAGTGTCATGTTTGTGGGAGACTCCAACACAATGTTACCCTATTGAAGCTTGAATGTATTCCACTTGGCCACATTTGCCACCAAATTATTTTTAGTTCTCCATTTCAGGTTTCCGGTTCCCTTTCCCAGAATGTAAGCCAAACCAAACCTGCAGCTACAGTGTGCATTTGTCCTATGTTTCCCCCCTCTGATGTACTGTAAAAAATGGACTTTTTGATTGTGAAATGTCATGCTGTCACCTATGCTATTTTTTTTTGACATGGGAAACCTGTAAAAGAATCTGGATCTATGCAATGTTTTGCTTGCTCTCCTTGTAAAGAAACTGTTTTTAGATACATGCAAAAACCAAAATGATTGTAATGTTTGATTCAATTTGATTTCGTTACTCTGGAGGGAAGGAGCCAAATCTCAAAAAAATCCAGCTCATTCTGGCTGACATCCTATTAGTGGTATACTCATATGTACATCACCCTACCCACAAATTATCCGCAACAGCAAAACAGACATTATCTGCTGTTAGGGGCAGAAATGGAGTACACATCCAGTGAGCATTGCGGCTATACATCATGCACTCTGGTTGCATATTTCGCATTGCAATTGCTCATTGTGAGTGCCTTGCTCATTGTACACAATACAACAGCACCCAATCATGATGCAATATTGATATTCTGTTTGAGGAGTTGCATTGTTCTGACATAGCATATCTTTTCATATGAATACTTACACTGTGATTGAGTGATGACAGTTACAGCCAAAGTATCTGCAACACCGGAAATGAAATGTGACGAGAGACTACTATTCTAAATGACAGGTAAGCACATTGTAGGCCACTATTTTTATGTAGGTCTTACATATAAACATCATCATCATCATCATCATCATCATCATCATCATCATCATCATCATCATTATACTAAGGGCCTTCAAAAAGTTTCCACCTTTTAAAAACTCTATTAAGAATTTCAAAAACAAATTACATCACTTTTTGACATAGTCACCTTCCTTTGCAATGCATTTTTCTCAGCATCATACCAACCTTTTAATGCCATCAGCCAAAAAAAAATGTTTTGGGTTGTGAATAAAGCCACTGATACAATGATACTTTCACATCATCATCACATGGAAATCTTCCTCTTAAAGCTCCTCTAACAGTTGCTGAAACATCCACCCGACACCCATTTTACTGACACCGTCATGAATCAGGGCATAGGTAATCCAACACTCACATTCAGATTTCCTGCAACCTCTTCGAATGTTGTTATTCTGTTTTTGCAAATCAGTTCCAGGGTTCTCTCTTCATTCTTCATAGTCATGGCTGTGGCTTAGGCTTGAACAAACTTTGGCCCTCCAGTCCCAGTGTTTTGAATTTGAATCCCAGAAATCCCAGCCAGCTTACTGGCCGTTAGGATTGTAGGAGTTGAAATCCAAAATACCCAGATGACAGTTTGCCCATGGCTGATGTACCTGGACGTCTGGAGCACTCTGCATCTGTGATACGAGTTTGGCCATTTCTGAATATTTCAATCCACTCACAGACAACTACAAGAGTTTACTGAGTGCAATGCATAGATGAGTTTGTGCTCTCCACACACCTTCTACCCACAAAAAGCATTATGACAGAACACTGAGTCCTCTTTGGTGCAATTTATAAGTTTCATCGTCAGAAGAGTGTGGCAACTCTTATGCTAAACTGCAAGGTCATCTGGCTTGCTAGACAGACTAATCACATCACAGTCTCAGATATGATAAATTACTCTTCCCACTCTCACAGTTTTCAATGAAAATATAAACGTGCAGTAACTTTTTGAAGAACTCACATATGTCCTCCTAAGTTGTCTTTACTACCCTCATCGGCTCTGTAATCTACCTAAACTAGGTGACTATAGAAGAGCAGGGACCAATTCCCCATCCCCAGTGGCTGTATCTGCCAGAAAGTATGCAAAAGTGACATGACATCACTTCTGGTCACTATTTCAACTTTTTACAACTCATCATTTCACAGGCCTCACACCAAAAGGTTTTTGGAGTAAAGGGAGTGGTTCTAGGTGTGATGTTAAGAAAGTATTGAGAATGAGGAAGTGAATATCAGTCCACAATTATCCCTTTCTTACACAAATGTGAGGTTTCAAAGGACTGGTGTGGACATTGGGGACTGATAGCAACATTTGTTTGTACATCCTGGCTGTCAGAGTTGTTCAGCAGTGGAATATGCTGCCTCAAGTGTTTTGAGAAGGAAAGTTTTCAGTTTCGGCCTTGAAATTTCCCAAATCATGACCAGAAGTTCTCTTGTGCTTCAATTAATCAAAGAACAATCATTTGCCTTTCACCAGACTCAGGGCCCTTCCACACAATCCTATATCCCAGAATATCAAGGCAGAAAATCCCACAATATCTGCTTTGAACTGGGTTATCTGAGTCCACACTCAGATAATGTGGGTTTTCTGCCTTGATATTCTGGGATATAGGGCTGTGTGGAAGGGCCCTTAGAAATCTATCTTGTGACAACTATGTAGAACTTTATGTGTTTTCTAGTGAAGAGAATACTATGTGTATTCGACTGTAAAGATGAAATGGTCAGTTATTTACTTCCCTAG